CCTTATATTATATTCTTTTAAATTACATTATGTTGATTAATACTTACATGGAAAAATGTTACTAAATATTCTTAAAAAGATTTTATTTTTACTTGCAATAAGTCTGGTGCAAGGTTTAATATGTGTTAGTTGAGAATGTTATTTCCCTTTAAGAGGGCGCAAGAGAAAGCAAGAAAAAAAGGAAAAAAGGGAAGGGAAAGAAAAAGTTTGGGGTTGCAATGCTGTTGTAATGATGTTTGTGAATACTATTGTCGATGCTCCAGATTAAAGGAAAAAGAAACAAATTATCACCCAGGTAACCCATGTTCATTATGATACGTTGAAGAGACTGGTGTAGAAACAGTAAGTAATAAGGGTTACATTAAGGAGGTAAAACTGGGATTGTACCAGACACAGACATTACTCCAGTTATTTTTCAATTTAATAAAATTGTATTTATGTTTACTGTATTTTTATTAAATGCAGCCCCAGTGATCATAAGAGATGTCAATACAAACTAAAAAAAATGTATTTCAATTAATAATGTTCAAATTATTTACAAACTTTTGACAAGTTGTATATAAATACTTCTTTACAACATCTGGAATGCAATAATGTATTTTGTTCATCCGGACACCATTTGGCCAGTAACATAATGTCCTAATATTATCATCCTATTGTAATTAAGACGATTAGATTTACAAATTGCACATAGGCAAAAAACCTAATAGTCCAAGACTGGGGAGTTTTTGTAACATTTTTTTTTACATTTCTCTGGATGTCTTAGAGATCCTGTAATCCAGTGTGTTCAAAATGTGATTTAAACTAGTTACAAGTATCTGCTATTAAATGGCATAATTACTATGTTTTCAAACAGGAGAAGTGAAATGTTACAAATCACTCCATAGTCAGGGTTAGTTGCAAAACACCCTGGGGTGAGATGTGACATTATAATTTATAACATTATGATGAGAATTATGACAAAAATAGATTTAACAGTTTTTTTTATTTAAAACAGTTTTCAGTGCAATTCCAGTGTAATTGGTGTGTGGCTTCATGTTACAAATCCAAATAAAATGTGCAAACTGCATCAGTTTCAACAATTGGAGCACTATTTGAGTGTACAGCTTCATCAGTCCACAGAGAATAGGGGTCTATTTTTGGTACCTCGCTTAAACAATCTCAAACAATTTGGCAGATCCCGGATGTTTTAATCTTGATAACTGATCTCTGGCTAACTTAATTGTTCATTTTTTTTCTTTTTACAAATCAGATTAAAATGTGTGGATGAACTGATCTGAGATTGCTGTGTGTGCTCGTGATTGCTGTGAATGACAGATCCACTGATCCTCGGAATTATGATCAGCATTGCAACAATTGGCTGACTTTACAGCAGCGTAATGACATCATCTGATCAGTGGTGGAAAGAGTACTGACAAATCATACTTAAGTAAAATTACCATTACTTGCCTAAAAATATAGTACAAGTAGAGTAAAAGTATCTGTAGAAAATATAACTCAAAGTACGACTAAAATAGCCCTTTCAAAAGTACTCAAGAGTAATGAGTATTACGCAGTGGTGGAAAAAGTGCTGAAAATTCATACTCAAGTAAAAGTACCACCACTTGCCTAAATTTAGTGCAAGTAGAGTAAAAGTATCTGTGGTAAATATTACTCAAAGTATGAGTAAAAAGTATCCCTTTTAAAAGTACTCATGAGTAGTGAGTATTACGTTGTGAAAAGCTGATGTGTTTACATGTAATTTGTGGATCTGTGTAAACGTAACACAACGTCATAGGACGTTAATATTAGGTTAGATTTAGGTTGTGATGTCAAGTGGCCAAAACTCAATGTCTAGCCAGCGTCTAAGGATAACATTATTTTGATGTCTAATATCAACGTTAAATGACGTTGATATTTGGTTGATTTTAGGTTGTGTTAGAAAGTGACCAAAATCCAACGTCGAGCCAACATCTTAAACCAACATCATATTGACGTCAAATACTGACATTTATTTATCAGGTTTGGCAACCAAAATCCAACATCTGATAGACGTCATAGTGGTAACGTTCACACAACTTCAAGCTGTGACATCATTAGACTTTGATATTTGGTTGGACATTGACGTTGGTCTGACATTGAGTTCTGACGTCAACCCGATTTTTATATCAGTTTAATTCACCTTTATTTGTATAGCGCTTTTACAATGTAAATTGTGTCAAAGCAGCTTTACATAGAAGATCATAGTAAATACCAAACAAAATGCAACGTCCCCACGACATTGGGGTACAACTTCAATCTGACATCATGTTGATATCTTGTGCTTGCTGGGTGTTTAAGGCCATTTCGGTACCCATACAGTAAACATCTGTCATTTTCTCATCAGTGACTTGCATCTAAACAGTCTCTAAGTCAATTAAAAAAATTTGGACATCTTCTTGGATACTTTTATTGCTTCCAAACAGTTTGCTACATTTATAAATCGCCCGTGTCTTGAGGAAGTTCATTTTGAGGTGATTTACCTTCTATGTGTGATTTGATTGGACAGTTATTAAATAACTGATTCAACTAATCCCCATAGACAAGAAAAAATAAAGTAGTGACTGCAGAATGAAGGAAAGTAGTGGAGTAAAAGTACAGATACTACACTAAAAATGTAGTCAAGTGAGAGTAAAAGTACACATTTTTAAAAAAGCTCAGTAAATTACAATTCCTGAGAAAGTTATTAATTACAGTAATTTGAGTATTTGTAATTAGTTACATACACCACTGACTGGTATTACGCTGTAAAAAGCTAATGCATTTACATGTAATTTGTGGATGTGTGTAACCGTAACATTCTGTAGTGCATTTAGTTATTGCCCAGCAGGCACACAACATCATAATTTTACAGTTTTTTCTCAGTCGCTTGGTGAATTTCTCACAACACTATTTACATTTGCACAACAGTTAATGCATTTCTTAAAACAATTAATACAAACTGCAAAACCTAGTTGATAACCTGCAAAAGCATGTCACTTGCTGAAAATGGGTAGCTCTTTCCTCAAAAGCAAGTATTTATCAATGAAAGTGTCAGTGTCACCAAGATGAAAAGTCCTGACACCATTGTTTATGAACAAGATAGTCCTCTTTTGCAATTTTACAGTTTTTCTCAGTCGCTTTGGTGCATTTCTCACAACACTATTTACATTTACACAACAGGTAATGCATTTCTCAAAACAATTAGTCATTTGTGCACATCATAGTAGCAGTTTCTCATTTTTTCCAACTAATTGCAAATGCTTTCGGACCTGCAGCACCGCTCATTTGTCATACTGTCAGTTCCAGAGAAGTGGAACAATGAGATAACACACGACTAGTGTTTCTGTTTACGGGATAGGAAGTTGGCATGACCACGGCAACATTGCAAAACCATGTTTGAGATTACACAACCTAATCTTGTATTGATGAAATAAGCCTGCTCCCCAGCTGGTTTGAGCTTTTGCGCTACCAGACCTGTTACTATGCTGTTACAACAAGTTCCTTTTCCTCCTGCTTAGTCCCTTGTTTATCAGGGGTCACTACAGCGTAATGAACTGCCAACTATTCCAGCATATGATTTCGCAGTGGATACCCTTCCGGCTGCAATTCAGTACTGAAAAACACCCATATACTGTCGCATTTACACACACACTTATACCCCACAACCAATTTTGTTTACCCAATTCTGCCTGAATTCTGCATCTGTATACTGCATGTCTTTGTACTGTGGGGGAAACCAGAGCACCCAGAGGGAACCCACACAAACACGAGGAGAACATGCAAACTCTACACAGAAATGTCAACCGGCCCAGCCGGGACTTAAACTAGTGACCTCTGAACCATCCTGCCACCTTATAATAACAATTCTCAGATAAATTTTGAAGAACGAAACTATAAATTAGGTCAAATCATCAATTGCCAAATTGAGATAAATGAGTAATCCACGTACAAAGAACAAACCCCAGGTCAAACACTGAACCCGATGTACTTTGGCTTTGAGGTTTCTTTTTTCATACTGAAATTAAAACATAAACAGGCCTACAGTTAAATTTGCATGGAGTTATAGTAACATTTCACTGATGTTACAAGTAACCAAGTGTTTTGATGGTACAAATGACCCAGAGTCTTGTAGCTATGAATTTTCTTACAGCTATCAGCTGTATATCTTACAGCTATCAGCTACAACATTAGCACCAACAACATGCTTTAAACATATCTACACAGACACACAATTGACATAATTTTACTACAAATCAGGCATTGTTAAACAAAAAATAAATGAAGTAAAAGATATTATACTGTTATTATTCTTCTTAGCTCAAATGGAGTTTTTCCTCTAACTTCAGCTTTGTCTGCAAAAGGACTCTATTTTTTATGTAGAATAAGGACTGTGAGGATTTGTGAGGTGAATCAACTGATTTGTTCAAGTCTCTGATTGCAGAGATTCAAATTTTTACAGAACCTGCGTTACAACCTATCCCCAGCTCCACCCTGAGGTTGGAATGCTTTCTAAAGGCAAAAGGACAACCTTATAAAATTCATTTAACGAGATAGAATTGTCTGGAGCACCTTAATTACTGTAGGGCACTGTTGGCACAACAACACCCGCCCCCCACCTAAAATGTGAAATGAGAGAGAGAGAGAGAGAGAGAGAGAGAGAGAGAGAGAGAGAGAGAGAGAGAGAGAGAGAGAGAGAGAAATGATTTTTCCTTTTTTTATTTAGTTACTTGGACTAAGTTACGTTAGGAGGGGGTTAACCTCGAAATGAATGTTGGAGCAGTTAGTCTCCCCTGAAATTGCCCTGATATCTAGGGACAGAGCAGTAAAGGTTAATACACTTTACATTAGGCTATTAGTTTGTACACTAGGCTAATGCTTAAAACAGCTGCTTCAGAATTAAATTTGATTAATTTGAATTAATTTAAATTTGAAATTTGATTCGAATTGATTACAGTCAAATACAGTCACGACAGACAGACAGAACGTAGAAACTGTCTCACCGTCTGAAGGTTGTAAACAATGTCAAATTCCAGATTCCTCAATTCCGCTTCTTTGTTTCCAGGATCCTTTTATAATGAATTTTAGATCACCGATTGAAAAAAACAGAACAAAAAGTTTCAGAAATCGATTTAAACAGCAGGCATAATGCAATCCCTGGCTGTCGGAGTACTTTCGATTTCGCAACATAGTCTGCATGGTCTTTGAGAGCAGAACCAGGATATGAACGTACGGAACCCCGGAAGGGACGTAGTGGAGGAGAAAAAAATTGGCTGGGTGAAAAAAAAATTATGGATGAAAGAAAAAAAATGGGTGGGAGGAAAATATATATCTCTAAGTTTTTGCGTTCTCTCGCAAAGTTTTGCGTTCCCTCGCAAAACTGTTTCTCCACAAACATTTCCTGTTCCCTTCACTCATGTAAACCCTCCCGTTTTTGCTGAATTTCTCCCATATTTTACCATTCTACCCACTTTCTTTACATTACTGTGCGCTGATCGTCGCCTTTCACTTTGCAACCTCTGAACCAGTGAATGCATGTATAAGTGACTGACGCTGACTGACAGACGCGCTTCGTACAATAAACTGATCCCAGATCAGCGTCTGTACGCGCCATTTAAAGGGACACTTCTGTTATCAAACAAGTGAGCAGCAAATGAATCATGTTTTGTTTAGTTTGATAACAGTGTCTCTGTAAGAATGCACAGATCTATAATAAAAGCAGTCCATACTTTAGAAACTGTTTGTGCTCATTTAAGAGAAAATAAGTTGTTTAAAATAAAACATGCAGGACGGAGATGTTTCATATTATTAGTGTATTTGTCTGTTTAAACATACACCCGCTCCTCTGTAAATGGCGTGTACAGACGCTGATCTGGGATCAGTTTATTGTATGGAGCGCGTCTGTCAGTCAGCGCTTATATGGATTCACTGGTTGCAAAGTGAAAGGCGACGATCAACGCACAGTAATGTTTTAAAGTTTCTTATAGCACTTTCAAAGCATGGTTCTTTATTAAACCTTTTGAAAATTGTTTTGTTTAGCAATTAAAAGTGGTTCTGATATTATTTGAAGCCCAAGAACCCTAATTTGGTGTATTAGAACTATTTTTCCTCAGAGTGAATAATAAGTTATATATTATATATACATACATACATAATTCAATAATGCATCTTTGTATGGACAAAGAAAAGGGCAGCTGCAAAAGAGCTGTTTAAAATTCATGATGTTAACCTGGACAATACATCCAGCAAAAAGATATTGATGTTATCATTTTCATGTCAACAAATTATTTTGGTAAATATTACATATTATTATAGGAAAAAATGTTGTAATACACCATATATATATATATATATATATATATATATATATATATATATATATATATATATATATATATATATATATACTTTTATATAAAATATATATATATTTTACTTTTTTTTTCAAGACACTTCTATACAGCTTAAATTGACATTTAAAGGCTTAACTAGGTTAATTAGGTTAACTAGGCAGGTTAGGGTAATTAGGCAAGTTGTTGTATAATGATGGTTTGTTCTGTAGAGTATCAAAAGGGTTCTGTAGCTTAAAGGGGCTAATAATTTTGACCTTAAAATGTTTTTAAAAATTAAAAAAATTATAACTTGCTTTTACAAAATGCTCAAGTGAATCCTGCATTTTCTTGAGAGGCTTATAAAAAGGATGAGTTTCCAGAATGAAGGGAAGAAAAATTAATGGCACAAACTGTACTGGGATGCTTTTATTGGCCTCTCAGGAACTCACATCCTTCTGCATTTTGTTCCAAGCTCACACCCAAGAACACTATGTTCAGTTGTTGATATATATTTTAAATACATACACGTCTTTTACTGTATTTTGATGACATATTGGTTTGGTATAATAATGCCCACATGTAAAGACATTTTAATAATTCACCAAACATTTTGTATATAACTAACAGAAGCACAATTCATCCAGCTCAGTTTATTCATTCATACACACATAGGGTTTCAATTCGAAGCAGTGTAAATTGATCATATAGGCACCCACATTAACACACAAAGAAAATTACTGAGCTAAACAGAAACAAAACATGTCTTGTGTATGTTAAGGCAGTAAGTATACTCATTTTAAAATGTAAATCAAATATAACCAAAATAAAAAGTCTAAATGCAATTCTGTTAAAAAAAAAAAAGTATAGCGGCATGTACAACAGCAGCGTAAGAATAATCAGCTGCTCTTCTTTCCATCTTCTAAAAATAGCCTAATTTGGCATAGCCTGATCTTAAAACAATAAGAACAAAACTTACTTGGAATGAGATGCTAAATGAGAGCTCCAGACTGATAAGCTGAGAGCTGAGATGTGAATAACAGAAACAAATAAAGCATGTGATAAACTTGTGACTGTGTAAAAAAACATACAATTGAGTCTTTGCGCAGAATGCATAGAAACCCGTTGTTATTATATTAATTGGTTATATTTTTGCTACTAATCAGAGTCTGTTTTGCTTAAATAATAAAAGATACATAAATAAGATTTTTCCTGCATGAACATGCTTTAGAAACCAAATATTCAGCTTACTAAAGCTTATAGACACAACCAAATGTACCCCATGAGTCAATGGACAGATACACTTCTATTACAGCATTGCTTTTTAGAATTAATTGTTTTACTAACCGGTTTTATTCTTAAATTGACAATGATAAATAAAGACTTGTCTAAGCATTATGTTACTCTATTCTACATTGTGTTTATAGAATAATTATTGATATTTGTAATTATTTTATATTTATAAAATTAGTTTTTATTGTATTGCATTGAGTTAGTGTTAGGAAAAGGGGATTAAAAATAAAATAAATGCGGTGCAAAACAATCTATGGATTTGTAAATAAATGCTTTGTAAAAAATAATCAACAGTTTTGATCTATGATTTGTAATGCTTCAAGTCGGAATGAAATCAAAATGTACTGTTTTTTTTGTGTGTGTGTAGAGATGCTTGTTATAAATGATGTATCAGTGCACTGTCTATTATATTGTAAACATTAGTTTGAGCTCAGAATCCTTAATCAAACATCATGACCTTCCCTCACCATCAAAACAACTTTTTTCACTTCTGGTCACATGGAATGCCTTTAGGGTGAGGCTATCAGTGTGTGACTTCTTTCTTCTGTCTTTAATCTTCCTCTATTTTATAAGCAACACCCATCTTCCAGTGATCTAATCACTTCCCAAAGGATGAAATCATGTGCTGTTCTACTTTTTTTCTCATTTCAGGACAATTTCATGTAAATGTACAGTGTGTCACAATACAGTCTTTAGTCACAATAGAAGGGAAAAAGAACAAATCTTAACTTCCATTTCTATTGTTTATTTTATTTTATAACTCTCTACTTATCCTTATTTTATTTTTATGTTATGTTTGTTATCTATATTTTAAATTGTACTTACATATACATGGGATCCTTATAGATTTGTTTCAGTGTTTTTGTATATTTCTTGTCTTCTAAATAAAAATATATTTAAAAAAATCTGAAATTCTGTTTAATGTCGACTTTAATGTTTGCACATTCATTGTATGGAGGTATTTCTAAGCCGATTTTTCATTACTGCAGATTGTTTTGTAGATTCATTGTTTTCCACAGTCTAACCACAGCAGACTACTGAAAAATGAACATGTTGTTTATATCTCACTGACTGCAGATTAATGAGTTCAAGTTGATAAGGAAGTTATTTCTAAAAGCTTCTTACACAAATTGCTTTTTGTTGGAAAGTCCTTAACAAACCTGTTCCAACATACTGAAGAAAAAAAGAAAAAAAAAAAGAATTAATGCTGATGTAAATATAACGAAGAGATCTACAGCAGGGGTGGCCAATCCTGTTCCTGGAGAGCTCCCTTCCTGCAGATTTCAGTTGTAACCCATATCATACACACCTGCCTGTAATTATCACGTGGTGTTCAGGTCCTAATTAATTGATTCAGGTGTGTTTGATATGGGTAGCAACTGAAATCTGCAGGAAGGTGGCTCTCCAGGACCAGGGTTGGCCACCCCTGATCTACAGTCTTACAAAATTAACAATGAAATACAAAATATGTAAATAATCATTTACTTTGTATTTTATCTATCAGAGTAACATATCATGGTATATTATATGAAATATCACACTGTAACACCTAAGGTTTTTCACTTGCATCTGTCTACAAATAACTACACCTACAATGACCAATTTCATTATACATACTCCAAATGCAAAACAAGAAACTGGTTTTATTGAGCAAATATAAAAAAACTAATTCTAGTTGCAAATACAATCAGAATGAACAGATGTAAAACACTGACTCTGTTAGAAAAGTTAACAAAATGTACTGTAATTAAAGTCATTATTGTTGCTTCCATATAGTTTCTTCAGTATGTTGGATACATTCAAGAAGTCAAAATAAAAATATTTAGATTGCTAAAGCAAAAAAAAAAAAAAAACTGCTCATCTAAAAAGTTTTGTATAAAATTATACATATACATGCAGTATTACTTGGCAGTACTGTATGTAGTATTATGAGACATCCTTCAGCTTGTAATTACTGGTTCCCCCACACAGATCAGTGCTTTATAGGTAACAGATTAGTTCTACATAGTTTAACATATTGGAACCATAAAATTTAAAACATCAAAGTAACTTTCCCAATAAAATATTCTTCAGATAATGTGGAACATAGTGGCATTGTTTCTCAGTGGTTAGCACAGTCACCTCACAGCAAGAAGGTCGCTGGTTCAAGTACTAGCTGGACCAGAAGACCTTTCTGTATAGTTTGCATGTACTCCCCTAGCGTGGGTTTTCTCCATGTGCTCCAGTTTCCCCCATAGTTCAAAGACATCCGGCATAGGTGAATTGGATGCACTAAATTGGCTGTAGTGTGTGTGTGTGTGTTTCCCAGCACTGGGGGTTTATGAGTTATTTCACTCTTTGCTCGGTTGGTAGAAACTTTTTGTTTGGACACCACCAGTCAGAAGGTCAGATTTACTTCCACTATTAACTGAATACAAAGAGAAAAAGTAAAGGAAGACTTTAATTTACAGCTTAAACAAGCACCAAGCATGCGCAATCTTCTGCATTGCACTGTCAAAGCATACGAGAACAACATATTAGAATTTATTTCACATAATTAAAAACTAATACTGTTATTAAATTTGTCATAATATATAAACTGAATAACTGTAATATGTGCATATATTATTAACAACTTCTTACCCTTTAAACAGTCAGTTTAATGTCGATCCATTGGAGTTTCTTTGAACAAAAAAATACACATTTTTATTTAAAGCATGGTAAATGAAATGTATTACATCTTTCTCTAAAAACAATGTCTGTACCTGTACCTGAACATGAGAAAAAAAAAAACATATAAGTATTAGTAATGTAATAACAATATACACAAAATGTTGGAACGTTTTTAAAGAAGACTCTCGTGCTCACAAATGCTTATAGAAAACGTCTCAGGTTACGTATGTAACCATGGTTCCCTAAAGGGAACGAGACGCTGCGTCTCTTTAGGAGACACAATGGGAAACAATCCCTCTCTTATAACCTCGAAGCACAGGTGAAATCAATCCAAATTAATTGGCAGGACCGTGTGTGATGTCAGACCGGGAGGTATAAAAGCACCACGGAACCATACAACTTCAGCTTAGAACCTCTCGAACGAAACGCACCAGGCTTGAAAAAGTATGGCAAAGCGACGCAGCGTCTCGTTCCCTTTAAGGAACCATGGTTACATACGTAACCTGAGACGTTCCCCTGCAGGGAACTCTACGCTGCGTCTCTTTAGGAGACACAATGGGAACGCTATCCCAAACACACCATAGTTTGATATGCCTGGTATGAGTTCCCCTAATTCAAGAAAAGATACTGGTTCTCAGATCTAATCATTAAAACCTTTTGAAGGTGTGCAGGGTAGAGCACCCTGCTGTTTCCTCAGGTGCCAGCCAAACACTGGCCAGCATAAAGAAGGATTTTGAAGCCGCCATACCCCTGGTAGAATAGGCCCTTATTGCCTCTGATAGAGAACGTTTCAGGGCCTCATAAGTCAGTGATATAGACTCGACTATCCACTGGCTCAACGTCTGCTGAGACGCAGATGCCCAATGAACAATGAACAATGAACGATTGTTACATTGAACTCCATTCAGCCGTATGATGTATGCGTCTAACGCCCGCACTGGGCAAAGCAGATGAAGCGCTTCTGATCTGCGTCATAAATGGTTGAGGATTAAAGGCCTACAGCACCATAGGTCGTACCACCTCATGGAGATCTTAAAGAAGTACCCTTTTGTGGGGTACAGGAATGCTCTCACCATGCCAGGTGAGCATTTCAAAAAAGAGGGAGCTCCTCTTTTGAGATAAAATGCTATTTCAGCATTAGAAACTTTTCTTACATCTCCTCAATGCAAAAATAGGGACTGTCGACAGGCCCTTGAGCACTATCAACAAATCCTGAATAGGAGTTTTACCAGTGCAATTAGGCCTCAACCTCCTGGATCCATGGAGGAATCTGACCACCAGAATGCCTCTGCCGAGACCATCAGTACCATATGTGAACATTACTGCTACATATACATAAAGTATCATATTTAAAACGCTCCTGGATAAATTCCAACACTAACCCCACAGGCGGTGAAACTGGACCCAGGTGGTGGTCGGTACACCACAAAGTGAAAAATTTACCTGGTGGCATACAATGTCCTCATGGAAGGGGCTCTGGAGCTGAGTGTGGTTTGAACATGTTCAGTTGAAAAACCAAGATCTATGAGGTGGGTTCCCTCAGAGGCCACACCTATAGCTTGCCTGGGTCAGAACTCAAGAATCTCCCATGGGAGACCATTAAGGAAAGACATTAGGTCTGAGAATCACATTCTTGTAGGCCTAGGGGCCACTGATAGTAGGTTGATCCCCCTAAATGGACTCTCTTCAGAACTCCCAGGAGCAAAGCGATCGGGGGGAAAGAATACAGACAAAGCCTCAGCAATATCTGCACCATGACATCCAGTCCAAATGGTGCTGGGTGTGTCAGTAAAAAACCACAATGGGTATTGTTTGTTTTGACAGGTGCACATATCCACGTCGGCTCTGCCGAATCTCTGTCAAATGGTCGTTACCACTTCTGGGTGCAGTCGCCATCCACCAAGCGCCAACCCCTGCCTCAACAGGGGGCCTGCTCCTACATTCCTGGGCCTGAGATGTAAGCTGCCTTCAGTGAGTGCAGCTTCACCTGAGCCCACAGAAGGATCTGCTCCGCCAACCTGCACAGAGGGCGCGGATTCAGACCCCCTAATGGCTGACAAAAGACCACAGATGTGTTGTCGATTTTCACTAACACATGGTGACCTCTTACTTGAGGGAAACAAGTGTTTCAGAGCATGAAACACTGATAACATCTCCCAGCAATTGATATGCATGTGGAGAAGATGGTCCCTCCTTTGCCCCAATGTGGGAAGGCCTCTCAGGGTCGCTTCCCAACCCTCGCAAGCGGCTTCTGTGCCATGCGCTGAGAGATTACTCCCAATGTAGGGCTTTGGGACAGAAACCTTGGCTGTCACTATATCGATAAAGCTTGTAGATAATGTCACAAGGCTTTGATTATGCGAAATCTCTGGATTAGAGCCACCGCTGTAACAATGTCATGTTAGCAGACCCAATCATGTTGATGGCTGCTGCTAACCAGCCTCTAAACAGTTTGACAGTGATAGCTAGGCCCAGCCTGACACTCTTTACGGCGATCTGGATTAACTTTATTTGAGTAGGGGAACAGACACACAAACATCGTTGTGGAGTTCCATAATACACTTAAAAAGTATTTGCCAACTTCTGTCTCAACATGAACTGGCACAATCATACTTTACTGTAGAATTCCCTGCAACCCCAACTTCTCTATGTAAGCAAGAACAACATCTCTATGTGGAATTGCTAACTCCCTAAACTGGAATTAAATTAGCCAGCCGTCGAGAAAATAGAGAATACAAGTCCTTTGTAGCCAAAGTGAAACCAAAGGTACGTTAACTGCTTTGGTGAACGTGTGGAGTGAGAATGCCAGACCAAATGAAAGAACCCTGTATGCGATTGATTAGATTGATCAGAGCGATTTAGTCATCTTAAAATATATATAGTATATAACGTCCATCCTTCTTTGGAACAGTGAAGTAATACTATAAAAACCCAGACTCCATGTCTGGAGGAGGACCTGTTTTATGACTTCCTTCCTCAGAAGGGAGTCTACTTCATTTATGCAAATTATTGCAGCAAGAGGGGTGTGAACCAAATTGCATTATATAGCTCCTCTTTAAGGTTAGCAGGACCCAACTGCGAAACGTTTGACAGCCACTCCCATTCTGCCAGAAAATACCGCAGGGGTACCAGTCCCTCAAGACTGGCCTCTATGCTCCCCTAGGTGGCTAACTCAGGGCACTGAAGTGAACTCACAACAGGAGGCCACCAAGTTAACTGCTTTCGGACCCTCCGTAGAGGGGGTGAGTCCACTAGCGCCACCACTTTTGGGATAAAACGCTGGTGGACAACACCGGGGGTCTCCGCGCCCTGAGGCACCAACGGTGGGAGGGTTGGCGGTTGGCCCACCTGTGGGGCACGAGGAGGAGGCTTTTGCTCCTCGCAGGGGCTGCCCGAAGAATTTCCTTATACTAGAACTTCTTAGGAGACTATAGTCGTTACACGACAATGGTCCTTGGCCACAGTACATGACGGACTTTGTCTCCTGAGGGCACTGCCTCAATAGCGTCACCACTTTTGGGATAAAACACTGGTGGACAACACCAGGGGTCTCCGCACCCTGAGGCACCAGCGGTGGGAGGGTTGGCAGATGGACCCCCTGTGGGGCATGATAAGGCAGCCTTTGCTCCTCACAGGGGCTGCCCGAAGAATTTCCTAATACTAGAACTTCTGAGACGATGCCCATTTCACGACAATGGTTCTTGACCATAGTACAAGACGGACTTTGTCTCCTGAGAGCGCTGCTTTCCACCCCAACTGTTTTTGGGGGCTGAATGGATGCAACGCACTCTCTTGCCCCACACAATGCTGAGCGGATAAACTGGCTTGCGGCTGGAGCTGGTCCCGCCTAGCCGCCCCAGAAGAACGGTTTCTTAGGGAAGGAAGCTCCCGTAGGAGCCCCACCCCCCTCTGCCCGCTCAACAGATTCTCTAATGAACCAGCGGGTAAAATGGGGGCGTCAAGGAAGAGACATTTGTCCTCTTTCTTGATATCGGACGGATTTGGCCACAAATGTCCCTGTGAACATCCATTTTTATGGCACAGAGAGACAGGTCTAAAGCCTGAAGCAGTTCCTTTTGAACGATAATAGGCCTCACCCTTCCCATAGGCGTCCTTCGGACGGTCTATTTGGTATGATTGCATAATTACATAGTTTGTCAACAACAGGCCAGTTGACCTTTTGCCACATACACTTGTTGCCGATGTTTTTATTTTCAGAGGCTTTGATGGCAAAGCAAAGAGTTTTTGCAGATGATAACTTCCTTGATATGAAACCTCACTCTGCAACAGGGTAATCTAAGCAAGCCATAGCTGAATAAATGGCTAATCATACAAGCAATATGAGACTTGCTTCAGGTCAATACTTCCCTGTGCAGGTACTCATTAAAATTAGACCGTTTATATTCATAATAATAATAATTATTATGTTCTATATTATAATGTATGTCATATAGTAATATTATTTATAGAGGATTAATTCAAGCTACACAGGCTTAAATCTCAGTAAGTTCATCATATTCAGGGCATAATGGGGGGAACAACCATTTTGGCCCCAACGGCCTTCCATACTCTCAACTCCCTCGGAAGCAGAGGCGGAGCCGCAATCCCACAGTGCGAGAGGAAAGGCAGCTGTAGCAGGCACGCGCTGAAATGATGCCGATCTGGAGGACAAAGAGGAGAAGAAAACCCTCGAGTTTTGTCTCCTTCTAAACCTTCAGATCGAGCTGATTCCCCGCGAAATCATGCACCGCTTGGCCGGAATGAGCCGCGGGAAACACTTTCACAGCACTTGGCCAGGGCTTTTTAAAATGAGCACAAACACACCTCTCGAGGACTGATTGTACTTGCTCCTGGTCAAAGGCACTGCGCACACACATAAATCATGCGTGTCCTGATATATGATTACACAAGGACACCGCAGGATTTAAATTATATTTCTCAAATAGCTATTATTTTTAATAGTGATGCAAAAAGAGAGCGTGTGTGTGCGCGAGTCAATTATTGTTTCAATGTAGTGCGTTTTCAGTGCTTGTAAGTAGGAGGAAAAAGACTCATGCGTCTGAGTGAAGAGAGAAAAAGCAATTGTATGCTTCCGTGGTGGTTTTATACCTCCCGGTCTGACGTCACACACGGTCCCGCCAATAAAATTGGATTGATTTCACCTGTGCTTCAGGAGGTTATAAGAGAGGGATTGTTTCCCATTGTGTCTCCTAAAGAGACGCAGCGTAGAGTTCCCTGCAGGGGAACAACAATAATTTGAAATAATATTAAAATACAAAAAAATGGCTTTCTCTTTTAATAAATTTATTAACATATTATATTTGTCTTGTGAAGTAAAAGCTGAAATTTGAGTTTTCAGTGTTGCATGATTCTTGAGAAATCCTTCAAATATTATTGGTGCTGTAATAATAATTCTTATTATGATCAATTTTAAATCAGTTTTTGCTAGTTTATATTTTTGTACAAAGCAATGTTTGATTGTTTTCAGGTTTTTAGATACTAAGTTCAAAAGAACAGGATTTATTTCAAACAAAATATTTTGTAACAATATATTACTCTATTTTTAAGTTTTTACTGCAACTTCAGTGCAATACATTTTTGATTTGCTTGATTATTTTCTATTATATTTTATTTTCTATTTTTACTTACCACAAACCTATCAATGGTATTTTTCCACACACAAAAAGGAAAAACTTTTCAACTCTGATTGTAAAAGATGTTTGCCTTTCTGTTTCTTGTTTCCCCCACAGTTTAAAGAAAAAACTGTACAAAAGCACGCACATCTCTCCAGGGGCGGACTGGCCATCTGGCAGGGCGGGCACTTTCCCGGTGGGCCGACGTACTTTTTGGGCCGGGCTGATCATCGTTTTATGATCTGATTGGCCCATAAAAGGCTTAGCAGCCTATCGTTTTTTTTCTGCCTTATTAATTGACGCTGCTGTGATCTGTGACTCTCTGAAAGTAGATGCTTTTTTTCCCGGACAGACAGACCGGGCCGGCCCATGTGACACTCTGCAGCCCATTGGCTCTTTTCGGTATTGACATTAGGCTGGCCCAATCACAAACTCCTATTTTGGACTCCGTGTGAGCGTGCGTCGTCTGTGTGTATTTTTCAAAATAGCCGAGAGTCAGAGAGAAGAAACGCAAGGGAGGCGCAGAGAAATCGCGGGAAATACACTGGCGTTTCATTTAGCGGTTCTGAAAAGTTCTCTGTTCATTCTAGTACACGGCTAAAAGCGCAATTCACATGACCACACACATGCACACTCTCTGCCAAGACCTTCAGACAGTAGTTCAGCGGGTGAGCATAAACCCCAGGTGAGAGTATAGTGCATGTCAGACAGTTCATCTGCTGGATGATCTGATCTCACTACAGTTGTTAAACGTGATATTGAATTCATCTTGTTGTCTCTATCTAACAATTCTTTTGTCTTTTGAATCACTTGTTCCTCAGTTAACTGTTTTGGCTGAGTGCAAAGATAGGCTAATATATTAATTTATGTAACCACATACACTGATTCTGCACATTGACTGATTGCTTACCTTTATCGTTTAAATTGAATGTACGTTATCCTGTTAAATTGGCCATTATTGGTTATTAAAACTGACATTTTGCAAAAGGGACAGGGTAAAGTTCATTCTTTTCAACGAAAACTAAAGGAGGCAGTTATATTTAAGCCCTGTTTCGTTATAAATATGCAGAGTGAAGATGATGCTGATATAAATATGCAGCTACACGAGGCTGTTTGGTGTCTGTTAATCATAATATCAAAATGAAACAAATTTGACTTATATTATGTTTTCATTGTTTAGATAGTGAAACAGCAAGCAGGGTGAGGTGAATGAGGTTATAAAGTACACTGTTCCCTTTGAAGATTTGCCCATGCATTAGCAGGCAGTTTTTGTTATGTTTATTATTTAATATAGGCTGAGTGAATAGTGTATTGAATAAGCTAAATTGACTGTAGCGTATGAGTGTGTGTGAATGAGTGTGTATGGGTGATTTCCAATATTGGGTTGTGGCTGGAAAGGCATCTGCTGCATAAAACATGCTGGTATAGTTGGCAGTTCATTACACTGTGGCAACCCCTGATAAAAAGGGTACTTATGCGAAGAAAAATAAATAAATGAATAGTGTATTTTTTAGAACTCAACAAATATCTTTATGGACAGTATACAGAAATTAAATTGAAATTAAAGTTTGTATTTATTTATTTATTTATTTCATATTTATGGCTTTTGTGTTTTATAGAATACGAGTTGATAAAAATATTGGACGTGCATAGATAGATAGCATTTTGATTGAATTTAGTGGGCCGCTCGGGCCCAAAATGCCAGGGCTGATTTTTTGCCCCAGTCCAGCCCTGCATCCCTCTTAATTGGGTGCTCAGCTAAAACCGCAAAAAGTGCAAATTAAATATAAATCAAAGGCGGCAACACCAAAGCTCCTACAGCCACGTTGTTCAACTCCGGTGTTCAGCTCCCCACAGTTCAAAGACCTGAATTTTAGGAAAACTGCATACAGTAAATTGACAGTAGGAGTGAGAGTGTCATTGTCCTATCACTGCAAGAGTTGATAATTCCATTGCAGTGACCCCTAAAAAGAGCAGACGAAGGAGACAGAGACTTTCGTGATCTGCACATCAGATTATGCTTTCTGAAGTATCATGTGACACTGAAGTATGCAAAACAAATTAAGCTTTGCTTTCACAAGAAAAAATGACATAAAATATATTGCCATAAAAATAAGCTCTTTAGAGTACAATATTATTGTTCACCTGTAATTTTATTAAATAAATGTAGACTTGGTGAACAAATGTAATTATTTTTAAAACATTTAAAATATATATTAATGACTAACACAATTTATACATGTCACTATATTTTTGCAGCAACATCTAGTGCAGGGGTGGCCAATCCTGTTCCTGGAGAGCCACCTTCTTGCAGATTTCAGCTACAACCCATATTAAACACACCTGCCCGCAATTATCACGCGGTGTTCAGGCCCTAATTAATTGGTTCAGGTGTGTTTGATATGGGTAGCAACTGAAATCTGCAGGAAGGTGGCTCTCCAGGAACAGGATTGGCCACCCCTGCACTAGATGTTGCTGCAAAAATATAGTGACATGTATAAATTGTGTTAGTCATTAATATATATTTTAAATGTTTTAAAAATAATTACATTTGTTCACCAAGTCTACATTTATTTAATAAAAATACACTGTTCATTTATTTTGGGCTGTCATACAAAAAAAAACCCAAAACAATAAAGCTAATATGTTTAGGAATCGTAATAAAACTTACCTGTTCTTGTGTAGCGTTCTTTCTTCCAAAACTGCTTATATGTCAAAACACCTACTACTGTACTGATTAATATCAAAGTAGCTATAACACTAAGAATAACGGCTAGTGGAGAAGTAGGATTTCCACATTGAGTGTCAGATGAATGTGTTCCTAGATTTGTTTCAGTAAGTCCAGTGTCCTCACATCTGTAAATAATATCCTGCATCAAATAGGCAGAAAAAAAAAACATATGACATATGCAAAATATGAAAGAGAGAGCACTTACTTTGTGTGCGGTAAACAGGATGAGAAAGATCCATCTGAATATGTGTCTCCAGTACAGTCTGCACATACAGTATCTGTGGAGCCGGTGCCTGCACACAGTCAACAAATGGATCAAAATATTTAAAAAGGTCAATATACACTCCCTGTTTCCTACTCAATGCAACTAATGCAGTAATGATTTTCCACTTTCACTTACTTTACGTCATGTAAATAGCAAATGCGCTTATGGTGCGACGCAAGGCTCTTAAAGAGAATGGGAGATGAGAATCTGATTGGTTTATTCTCAAAACAAACCTATAACTCATTAAGAAAATAAACTCAACCCTTTTAGACCATGTGCCACGGCGCAAAGCGGATTTTTCAGTACTTAAATTAGCAAAAATGCATTCTGACACGCCCTGAAAGAGTTTGCAGCCTGCGTTTTGCGCTCTGTGCATGGACCGTCAAAATAGAGCCCAGAGTGTTGCAGAGCTGAAGTACAGCTGCTTTTCTTCAATGCAGTAAAATCTCTCCAGTGGCTCACAAACAGTATCTGATGACCGACTGCAGGCTGAGTTCACTCTTAAACCTTGGTCTAAAAATAAAAATTATTGAAGTCAGTGGAATCTTTAATGCACTGAGTTATCTTTTAGCAGATAATTTTGCAGTAACTTACATGTATATTATTGTCAGGGACAATTTCCCTTGAACAGACTTGCAATACTTCAGATCACAAAAGAATCACTGGGTACTGTCTATTACTGAAATATGTAATAGAAAACTTATTAAAAATGTAAGTTATTAAAAAAAAATCACCTATAGTCTACGTATTTTGGATGATGTGGTTGCCATTATTATAGATGCATAATGTGTAATCTTAAGTGATTTAACATGGTGAGCTGCTGGCCTTCCTTCCTGCTATTGTTAGCAAAACATAATGCAGTAAATGTAATTCTAATATCATCCCACTTTGTGTGACTTTTTGTTATAATTTCTTAGCTAAAGGGCAACAAGACGATGTAAAACTCAATTGCTTTCCCAACAATACAGAGAAAAAAACGAAGATGCCTGTAGAAGAAAAACACTTGGTTGATTCCTCCACTTTAGCCCTGATGTTTTTTTAATAGGCCACACGTCAGGGCGTCCTGAGTTCGAATCCCAGCTCGAGGATATTTCCCTAACCTAATCTAAGCTTGTTTTTCATAAAACAAATATAAATATGCAAATAATAAATAATAATAATAATAATTATAATGTTATACAAAAGCAAGTTGTTGTGAATAAACTGAAAAAAAGCCCTCAAGGTGAAAAAGGCATGGAGGTACAGGTATTTATATTTATGTAGAAAATAATAATTTTTGTAATATTTAATTCCTTTAATTGTTTTTCATTTGTAAAGATATTTGTGTATTGCTGTACAGTAACTCCTGTGTGTATTTAGCAATGTGTAAACTAGGGTTGGGTTGATAGACTATGCCTATTGTTGTTCAAATTAATGAATTCGGACACACTACTCAGCTTGCATACTGATTTAAGCTTTCTGTATCGTATAGAAGTATGCTGTTTCGAACGGGTCATGCTCTCGTCTGCATCGGAGTGGATGCTTTGAGCAGTGCACGTCGGACAGTTTATCAAGGATGTATCACTGGATCGCATCTCACTATAGTTGTTAAACGTGATATTTAATTAAACTTGTCTCTATCTAACGACTTTTTTGTCTTTTTAATCTACTGTATCAGATAAGATGTCACAGCATCAGTACACTGCATCAGTCTTTCGCTTTCAAGCTTGTAATTAGTCATTTTAGCAAAAAAGCTTTGGTTACTAAAGTTACCCTCGTTCCCCAAGGAGGGGAACGGAAATGCTATTAGTGGATTTAATTATAATCCACGAATGGGAGATTTCGTTACAGAAAGCTAATTGTCTGAAAGAGTATACAACGGACCAATGAAATGCCAATGAATTGGCAGCGTAAGCTTGCGCACGAGTGCCTTATTGCTAATTATCGCCGCATATAAGCACAGGTGGAGCAAGCACACGCTATCCTTTTAAGCTGAAGAGACTGAACTAACAGCTAAGGAACAGTCATTATGGTGATGCTAAATAGCATTAGGGTTACTTTAGTAACCAGAGCGTTCCCCTTCGGATGGGGAACTCCAATGCTATTAGTGGATTTAATTATAATCCACGAATAGGAGAAAGTATGGAAAACGCCATAATGACTGCACCTTACCTACGCCTCCGATGAGAGGATAGTCAAGCAAGCCTAAGCGCTCCAGCATCAAGAGAGGCACGATCCTCCAGCGTGGTCCCTGGCCCTTACTTATCCCACTTCAAAAGAGGGCACCTATACCCAAAACGCGGCTGACCTGCGGGCAGACCTACAACGTAGTGGGCCAGCAAGTGACTCCTCCGCTGAGTCAGTGCTGGGGGCCTCGGAGGAATCTGCAGGGCTCACCTACTGAGGAACTTTACTGACAGATACAAAAGCGCACGTATCACCGTGTGAGGGAGAATGGCGCAGCAAGCGTGTTTCAACACCTTAGCCGAGTTGTTTCCTCAATCACCAAGGGTTACCTAATACCCTTGAGGAAACCGGCTCCACTCGCAGATTGTAAAACCTTGCAAATGTATTAGGTGTCACCCAGCCCGCAGCTCTACAGATGTCTGTTAGAGAGGCGCCGCGTGCACGCGCCCAAGAGGATGCGATGCTCCGAGTGGAGTGTGCACGCACTCTCGGGGGACACGGCTCGCCTCTGATAAGCGAGAGAGATGGCATCCACTTTCCAGTGGGCCAACCTAGTTCAATACGGCACTTCCCTGCTGCCGACCGCCATAATAGACGAAGACCTGCTCAGATGATCTAAGCCAGTGGTTGGGAACCTATGGCTCGCGAGCCACGTGTGGCTCTTTGACCAAAATACATGGCTCTCCAGCTCCCTCCCTTCAATAATATTCTACAGTTTTAAAAAAATGATAATCGTCACAAATATCTGTTTCTTATTGAAAATACAGGTACAATTCCCTCTTTATTGTAATCCCATGCAGGAAAAAGAATAAAAACTCGACGTTTCAAATGTGTGCGTGTGGCGCTGTGAATACACTTACATTTCTATGGTAACCGCGCGTGCGCACATAAATTCAAACAACATTCATGAGTGGTTATGATGGCAAAAAGAAATTCTGAGAAACATCAACAGTTTCAAGGTGAGTGGGCAGGAACATTCGCTTTTATTGAAAGCTCTGCATTGTGTGACTTGCACCAAAAGCATTTCTACTTCGCTAGAGCAAGCTGAGCGAAAGCCGAAAAAAGGCGTGCGAGGAGCTCCAGCATAAACTGCACACCTTTCACAAATGGTAAATAACCCGTTCGCGGCAGTGCTTAATCTGAGCTGGATCTTTCTCCGGGAAATGTCAGATATTCGTGTTTTGCTTTCCTGTATTTTTTTAATTGATCCGGCATAAACTTAAGCGCGATGAATACCTGCATGTGTGTGTGAGAGCGAGACTGTGAGTCAGAGGGAAAAACAGCTAGCAAAGCTGTGTGAACTGCAGTGTTGCTAGATGTTGCAGACAAATTCCAGCCCAAAATGATCCAAAACCCGCCGAAATGCAAAAACAACCGCCCAATCAAATTCAAAACTGTCCAATTGGGTGGGAAACCACCCAATCTGGCAACACTGGCTGGGTGGATTGTGTCCTCGCACGCACACATAAAGGTAGTCACTTTTGACTAATCAGCTGTCTTACGTTTACAATCACTCTCATTGGTGGGTGATTATTGTTTCGCGTGCAGTGAGCAGCGAAATTAAATAATGACATAGTGGCCTACTAAATAACATTTGTATTTACAAAATGCCAGAGGCAGTCAAGCATATATACATATTTCTTAAATCATGAGTAAATCGGATAATGAGCCTGATAAAGAGAAGATGAAACTGCGCCCTGCATCTGGATATTTTGAGACAGCAACAAAGCGATGTCAAGTCAGCCAGAAAATTATATATATATATATATATATATATATATATATATATATATATATATATATATATATGTCACATGGTTTTTTAAAAAAAATCATTTGCTAAAAATCCCCAGAAATATCTCTTTGCTAAAAAAAAGTTCCCAACCCCTGATCTAAGCTCTGAGTGCGGTCTAGATAATACGCAAAGCGCGAACTGGACAAAGTGAGGCTGGGTCAGCCGCCTCGGGGGGAGTGCTTGCAGGCTCACTACCTGGTATTAAAACGGAGTGGTAGGAACCTTGGGTCCATATCGTGGGCGGGGTCTCAAGAACATGAGAGAAAGCCAGCCCAATTAAAGGCACGAGTCACTGACCGAAAAATGCCTCCAGGTCCCCGACCCTCTAAATCGATATCAACGCAACCAGCAGAGCTGTCTTCAGGGACAGAATCTTAAAGATAAATCTTAAAGAGTCGAGGATCGAAGGGATCTGACGCAGGCTCGTGAGAACGAGGGTGAGATCCTAAGAGGGCAAGAGATGGGGGCGGGGTAGGTTAATTCGCCTAGCTCCCCTGAGGAACCGGATGATGAGGTTATGCGTTCCCACTGTGCTGCCAATGCGTCATAAGAGCGGAGATGGCAGCCACGTAACCTTGAGTGTGGAGGGCGAAAGCCTGCTCTCTAGCTTCTCTTGGCGTAAGAAGCACAACGCTGATCTGGCATTTTTCGGGGGTCTTCTCAGCGAGGGACGCACCATTCGGTGAATAGACTCCACTACAGGGTATAGGCGCGCTCGAGGAGGGGGCTCTAGCCCGAGTGACGGTATTAACTACCGCAATCAGTAGGTTACCTAAGTCTTCCTCGCATCTAAGGACCACCCGTGGAGGTTCCAAAGATCGGGGCGATGGTGCCAGATGGTGCCTGTCCCTGAGAGAGTAGGTGCTCTCTTAAAGGGATCTGCCAAGGGAGGGCCATCGCGAGGAGGGAGAGCTCTGACATCCAGGTCCGGTTGGGCCAGGGGGGCGCAACCAGCAACCTGTTCCTTGTCCTCCCTGACCTTGCACAGTAACTGCGCGAGCAGGCTCACTGGGGGAAACGCGTATTTGCGCATGCCCCGAGGCCAGCTGTGAGCCAGTGCATCTGTG